GCAAATTGAAGACATTAAAGAACCTGAACAAGTTAAAATACCAAACAAACTATAGGAAGAATCCTCTGTGTGGAATTTCCTAACGGCATAAATCTGACGTTAAGCAAAAATTCGGACCAGGTAGTCGGTGTCCTGGCACAAGAAGTACTAAGATGGATCCAGAAAGATTTAATCAATTAAAGCGCTTTCTTCAAGAACAATATATTGATCCGAGATTGTCCAAGAAAGAAAGAAGAAGACTTATAAATAATGGGCGGATGTTCTTCTTGAAAGATGAGATTATTTTCCGAAACAACAGCAGAAACTCAAATAAGCCGTTGAGGGTTATTCAAACCCAAGAAGTGGAACCAGTGTTATATCTGGTTCATGATCACCCACTAGGAGGTCATTTAGGGATCGAAACCATGTTTGAGAAAATAAGGCAACTCTATTACTGGCCTCAATCATATGAACGAATACGGGAGTATGTGAAGTCCTGTGACCAATGTCAACGACAAGGTAAGCCCCGGCTGACTACTCCCTTACACCCTATACCGGCCGTGGCTCCTTTTTATCAGGTTGGTATAGATATTGTAGGACCACTACCTATCACATCTAGAACAAGTAGGTACATAGTGGTGGCAACAGATTATATGACTAAATGGCCGGAAGCTAAAGCCATTAGTTCAGCAAATGCTCAGGAAGTGGCCGATTTCCTGTACAATGAAATAATTTGCCGTCACAGGTGCCCCGAGTTGATCCTGTCAGATCGAGGAACTCATTTCCGTAATAAGCTAGTTCAGAAATTACTGGAAAAGTTCCAAACTAAGCATGTCTTGTCGACGCCATACCACCCCCAGACAAATGGGCTGGTAGAACGGTTTAACCGGACCCTGTGTGAGTCTATTGCCAAAACCGTGGAAAATGTAGTAGACTGGGATCTAATTATCCCATCCATATTGTTTGCTTATCGAACTTCAAAGCATTCTACTACAAAGATAACCCCATTCTACCTAACATATGGTCGAGATGCAAGACAGCCTATTCAATCAAACGAAAGTGTTAGGGAAACTATAGCCCAAAGAGTTCGAGGGCTGGTAGATACGTTACCGGTAATCTGCCAAGCTGCCATTTTTCAAGTACAAAAGGCACAGAATAGGCAAAAACAGCTTCACGATAGAAAAATTCAGAATATTACTGAATTTGGAATAGGGGAAAAAGTATTGGTGTACCGTGCATCCCGACAATATAATCGTAGCGTAAAGCTTGAACCGAAATGGTCAGGCCCATACTACATTCATCAGGTTTTTGACTGGAATGTAGTCAAGTTGCGCACAATGGAAGGTCAAGTCGTATCAACCCCAATTAGTACTAGTCTAATTAAAAAGTATAGAGATCGTCAAAGGGACACCAAAGGAGGAAGGATATTAAATTAAGGTGTAGATTGCGTGATGGAGAGGAGTAAGAGACGAATGATGTTTTGATAATAAGGGTGTGTGAAAAAAAAAAAGAATACATATAGTATAACTAGTAGATCGAAAGAGTGTTTTTTTTTTATAAATATATATATAGTCAAGTTCGAAACTTCGATCTATTTATCTTTACAACCATTTAAAAAAAAAAAAAAAAAAAAAATGGATATCTACACAATCATCAGGGATATAACCTCTCCAGTCCCTTCTGGTGTTCTTGTAACTCCACCTCCAGTTGTGGCACTACCTCCATTTGCGGAGACCCATGATCTCATAGAAAGCGTGGACGTGACTCGTACGGCCTTGCTGCAGGCCATTCGATTGAAAAATAGAATCGAAATGTTAGTATTGGCCTACTACCTCAGCATGTTATTTGTAACTGCCACTCCCACTCAGCAAGGAGCCATCCGAAGAAAAGTAACTCGACATTATTACCTTGCGGCTAGGCATGTCTACAATCTATTTGCTCCTCTTGGGTTCAGCAAATTTATGGCACCACTATGGTTACTTTTAATACATTTAGGCTGCTATTGAATGAAGATCTCCAACAATTGATCCTCTAGTGTTTGTGGAACTCACATTTTAAGTCAGGAGTATTGTAACCCAGGAAACTCAGACTTCAATTTTAGGCCGGTTAATTACGTATGTGCCGCAGAAGCCTATTTTTGGTTAGCGATGATCTTCGATTTATTTGGATTAAAGACTTTTAGGAGCAATTTGTCTTAAAGGTCTTAAAGGCAGGGGAATAATACTTTTAAGACTTAAAAGTCTTTTCTTTATTTTATGTATTTTAATAGTTTATATTATTATAAGACCTAAAAGTCTTAAACAAAACATAGTGTAAAAGAAAGTATATAAGCAGTACATTTCTGCTATTTAATAAAGACATCTTTTTCATACGATTAAACAAGCGTTCCTTAGCTTGTCTTTGGCCTACTTATACAAATTATTTGTAACACTACCTTCACCTCGATCTTTCCTAAACTAAAT